GGGGGGGGAGAGGGCAGGGCCTTGGCCGCCCCTGCCAGTCCTCAGCCCTGACACCTTCCTCCCGGCGCCCGCCCAGCTTTGCCAGAGCTCCTTGCTCCTGGTGCAGCTCCCGCCTGTGGGGCCCGCATCCCCCCGCAGAGCAGTGCCGCCGAGGACGACCCCAGCCCTGCGGGTCTGTGCCGTTCCTGCCCGAGGACCGGGATGAAGCCAGGTGAGCTCATTTCACCTCTGGCCCGGGGCAGAGCGCAAGCCCAAAGCTTCCCCTTTAACAGCCCACCCGCAGGACACGCGGAGCGTGAATCGGAGTGAGGACGACCCCAGCCCTGCGGGTCTGTGCCGTTCCTGCCCGAGGACCGGGATGAAGCCAGGTGAGCTCATTTCACCTCTGGCCCGGGGCAGAGCGCAAGCCCAAAGCTTCCCCTTTAACAGCCCACCCGCAGGACACGCGGAGCGTGAATCGGAGTGTGATGAAGTGCAGCTCAGAGGCACCCTCCGGGGGGCCGCTGGGTTGGAGCCCCCTGGTCCCGTACTTTGCTGGAGCCACTGGAGCCTTCGGTCGGGCGGCAGAAGCCTCTGCCAGGGAGACACCCAATGATCTCAGCGCGGCCCCAGGGCTGGGACAGCCGCCCCCCTCCTGGGGCATCCGGAGGGGATGGGCAGGGACGGGACGGACAGGGACGCGACGGTGGCTGCCAGCCAAGGCCCAGGGCTCCCCCCACCAGCCTGGCATCCCCAGCGCTCCCTGCCAGCCCCCACCCCAGGGTGCCGAGGAAGGGCTCGGCCCATGCAGGGTCAGGACCCCGGTGCCTGGGACCCTTCTCCCAGTGCTCCCCTCCCCCAGGGCAGATGCAGGCAGCCAGAGCCCCAGGCCCAGCCTCCCCCTGTGCCATGGGACCTGCTCCATCCCCGGGGACACCCAGACCCCTGTCCCTGCTCTGCCCTGTCCCCCTCACCCTCATCCCACTCATCAGTTCCCAGGGCTGGGAGGGAAGGGGGCTGTTGCTGGCCCCTCGCTGGTGCAGGGGCAGGCAGGGGCTGGGCAGCTGCCCGCTGGGGTTTGAGCT